AAAAAAGTTTGAAATTTGAAATTTTAAAATTATTATCTTAAATTTGAAATTAGTAAAACTAAACCTCTTAATTACGAAATTTTCCCTTATAAAATGATGTCACATTTATTATTGCAATTTATGTTAAGGCCAGAAATCCACGGGCATGCATCTCATTGAGTGTAAGCACACTCTCCTTTAAGGTGACTAATGGCTTGGACCAAGAGGTTGCAGCGGATGAATGACACATCAGAAGGGACATGAAGCGGAGTGAACCAAGATAATAATGAAAGGGAACAGATTATGGTATTCGAGGAGATTTTAACATTTAGCACAAGTACGTTTCTATTTCTATTTCTACGATATTTCGGCTTCTGCTTAATAGTATCGTACGTTACAACTTGCGATTTTTCTGTTGCAACTTCATTTTGAACACAATTGATTTGTGTTACAACTTACAACTTCATTTTGTAATTTTAGTCTTCGATGTGTTACGACACTTTGATTTCATGTAGCAACCTATGTTTTAACGATATTACAACATTTTGCTCCATGTCACCATTATTTGAAAAATATGACATTTTATGGTACCACAATCCCACTCAAAGTTGATGACATAACCATGTTCTAACATTTTGTTAATTTGCATTTCCTTTGCCTATAAAGCAAAAGCATTATAAAAAGTTATTTAATTTTATTTCAACTTACCACTACTTAGAAGTGATTTTTTGTTAAGATTACATCGCCCATGTTGCCAGTTATTTGTTATAATGATGTAATATTTGTTCAATTGATTATGACGATTAATTAGATGACAAGTTAATTTCAATTTTAAATTAGTGAATAATTTCTAACACTTAGAAGAATAATGTCTTCAATTAAATTATTTAAGCGAGCACGTTTCGTGGCACTCGGGACTCTAGGTCTCGGGCCGTCACACTAGCAAATTCATGACTAAACTTCAAAAAGAACTTTTCAACCTCCCATCTTCAACTCCATTAGCATAATGTATACATGATAAACCTGGAATTGATTAGTGTCGGAAAATTGGTTTAATTAGTTGGTTTGACCAAATTTTGACTAATTATTTAAGTGGATCTCGTTAGTTAGACAAAAGATTTCCTTGTCGAATGTATTCTACTCCACGAGTAGATTAATGTAATTTATTTAATTTTTCAAAACCAATTTAGGGTGAATGAGAAATTAAGGTCAAAGATGATCATTCGAAGTTAAAATAATTTTGGAATAAAATTGGTGGGAAATTGAAAAATGCCATTTTGAGATGAAAAATTAGAAGAATAAAAATCATTTTATATTGTTCAAATTTGAGACTTGGTTTTGGACCCCAAAGGGTACCAATAGTCTTTGAATTGTTGAGTACCTACATGCTAGTAGGTTGAGCCAAAGCCCACACACGAGCCGTCTTCTGACCGACCAGCACGGGTCGTGGGCTTTGAACGTGGACCAAGTTGGTATATATTTTTTGATAAAATAATAATTGGATTTTATTATTTTATTATTAATTTAAATAATATATTTATTTATTTCCAAATTTTTTTCTGTGCATTTTAAGAGTGTGTTTGGTAGGGGTTTTTGGGGGAAGAATTGATTTTTGAATAGTGATATGATGGGAAATGTATGNTTTTTTTTTTTTTTTTTATAAATAGTTTTACTATTTTCTTTAGATATATCTCTCCATAATAGATAACATAACATCGTCGATTGTTTTAAGTGGTATAGTCCACCACAGTATCATCAGGGGCGGATCCAACACCCGACGAGCCAGCACGGCCGCCCGTGCTGGATCCATTGGGAAAAAAAATTAATTAAAATTTATGAATGACGTGTTGATCATTTGGAAGAGTAGATGCCTTTTCACATGAGATACCTATGTTCGATTCCCTTCAACAACATTCTCTTTTTCAATTTTTAAATGCTGTAAATAATAATTAATTAATAATTGTACCAATGTTTAACAAAAAGAAATGTAGCTCCTATGGTAGAAGGTCCATTTTGTGCAATAGATGTATGGGGTTCAATTATTTGCTTTTCTATTTTTTGTTTAATTTTTCAATACAATAAATAATAACTAAAAAATTATATATTATTAGTTTTCGTTTTCGAAATAATTTCTTTAAAAAATTTATTGACTCAAATTATTACTCTATGATACATATTTTTATTGTTAAATTTTATTAATTTATTTTATAAAATTCAAATTTGGACAATCTAATGTTCTTTATTCTTTTAAACGTTCAAAAAATACTTTTTTTTTTTTTCCTTTTGAGGTCAAAATAGTTTTAGTTTTAAAAATCATTGTTTTAAAAATTTTGCATAACCTTAGCCCAAACTCGGAGATTGTCTTTACCATTTAATCATGCATTACATATAAACTGTTTCGTTTGATTTCGTAAAAACTTGAAACTTGATCATACATGTATGATTGAAAAATATATTTTTTTCTTATTATTTTATATTGAATTGGATTATATTTTCAAATGTATATAACTTTTTCATATTTTAGTGCATTTATATATTGATTGAAATTTTTTTAACATTATTTAATTAAATATTAATAAACAATTTTATTATTGCGGCCATCAGAGACAGCCATAACTGACTTAATATTTTAGATCCGCTACGGAGTATCATCGGCGTCGAAGCATCGACGACCACAATCGCCGTAATGCCCATACAAGCTAAAAATTCTAGCTCCAGCGTGGTTCTCAACCTTATCGAAAAAAGTAAAAACTATAATACTCATTTTCAATTTGGATCTAAAAAAAGGAAACTAATAAAATAATTGCAAAGAGCATGGGCAAATCTATTTAGATAATAATCAAATCGTGCCTTTTGTTTTTTGGTCTCAGCTTTATTGTGCCTGTCGGCTTTATGTAAAGGAGCAATACTTGTTAATTCATACAAGGAGTACACTCTTCAAAGTAAGACTCAAATGTAAGTCCTTTATTGATTTTTTTTTTTAAACTTTTTAAAATTAATGAGTAATCTTACAATAGCGCAAAGAAAAACTCATTCGAGAAGCGGTTTAGTCGTTAAGCGTCTCATTTTCTACTTGAGATGGACATTATAGTTCTCTCTTTCGACTCTGTCCGATTTAAAAATAGTAAAAAGAAATGTAAATGAGGGTCATAGCTGGATACAAATTTGTAGTGTGCCACCCCAAACCAACCAAGAGCTGTGATGAACTGACTGACTGACTGTGTATTTAATGCGACGAGTTAAGGCCACATGTTCTTGTTTTTTCAGTGCTCACATTATGGTCGTGATTTGTGAACCTTAAATGGCATCCATGTGCATGACTAACAGACAATTCAGATTTATTACTCACCTAGTTCCTAATTCTGTCCATACCCAAGTGTCCAAGGGCACGGCTTTTAATTCAAAAACTCACATAAGAAAAAATTAAAGAATGTCAATTTAGTGAACAAAATGAAATATGGTAGACTTCAATTGTTCTACAACAAACTAGAGTTTTTTCTTCATATCCAACACATTTTCCTATAAATTGAGGGACTAGTAGGGGTGGACAAAATTGTTGGATTTAACTATAACAAAACTGAATTGAACTTGCTAGTTTGGTCCACTTTTTCTCCAATTCAAATCGATTTCGAATATTAAAATTGAGATCACCCAATTCCGATGAATGCAAATTTGAATTCATCATTAGGCCCCTGTTTGGTACACATTATTTTTTTCATTCTCATTCTTCTACTCATTTTCAACCACACATTCTTCAATAAAATAATATTTTCCATTACATCAATAACTTTTTCTTCATTTTTAACCACGTATTCTCCATCAATCTACTATTCAATAATACATTCTTTCTAAAGAATGTGTGCCAAACACACGAGCAATGCTCCATTAACAAGTTGCAACTTTTTTGCGATGTAATAGCAGATTTCTAGAAGTTGAGGTTCATAGTTATTCATTTGCTTAACTTGGTTTGCTCTTAATATTTTGCACATTTAATGAAGCTCCTATGGAGAATTTAGATATGGTTAAAGCTTTGTTATTCGGAAAAATGAATTTCATAATAGTAGGTTTTGGAGAAAGTATAGTTAAAAATTAAGAATTTTTTTTTGATTTACGTGCATATTTTTTTTAAGAACGTGCGATTAAAAATGAGTGAAAAAAAATAAATTTTTAGAGAAGGAAACTTAAACAGGAGGCTAAATATTCTAGCTTAAGAAATTTTTTTATGAATAGATTGGCATTGATTAGTAAATTTTAGAACTGAGCTACAACGGTACAACCGGTCCGTTCGAATAGTATTTTTTAAGATGGGTGATGCTACATGTACACCTCATGCATTACACAATCCTTTACACCTCCTCACATGAAAGGAGCCCACGATTATTTTATTATGTGTGGACCCCCTTCCATGTGAGGGGGGTAAATGATTGTATAAAAAATTATCCACACATAGTTTTATTCTTTTTAAGATACTCTTAGCACTCACTTCACTTGCATATAGCTACTCCTGTACGAACACTGCTTCTTGACGCCCTCTCTCTCTCTCTTTCTTTTCGGAGAAGACAATCACTTACAGACAAATCTCTCTTTGAAAATTCAGGTGATTTTCAACTCTTCACACACTGTATATTTTTCCGGCTTATGTTTGTGTTTTGTTCACTTCTTTGTGTTCTTTTCCTCTTCCATATGAGTAACTATGTTTTTTCAACTTTTTGAAGCAATCATTTTTCTGGGATATTTTTCCTAGTATGAATATTAATCTTCTTTATTGCAGTTGTAGAAGATCCACATTTGGAGCTTTCTCTTTGGACATCACTCACACAACCGATTTTAATTAGTGACCATTATCCACAGAATTTGAATTTCTGTATTTTTCTTGTTTCGTATCACTAATTACTTTGTGTTCATAACTTGTTTTCACTAATAAAAAGAATTATTCATATTAAAGTAAACCTTTTAAGCTCAAACCAAAATCCAATATGGGTCTTGAATCTCCAATTTTCTTATGCTTTTTCGTTTTGGCAATGTTGATAAACTGCTCGAATTTTGCCAACGCCGAGTGGGCAACTTGCGCCGGAATTGTACCGATGAGGTACCGGAACGACAAGATCTCGATAACGGATTTTGGAGGGGTAGGTGATGGGAGAACATTGAACACAAAAGCATTCAGAGCAGCTATATATAGAATTGGGCATTTGAAGAGGAGAGGAGGCACACTGCTTTATATTCCTCCAGGGGTGTATTTAACAGGACCCTTTAATCTCACTAGCCATATGACTCTCTACTTGGCTAGAGGCGCTATTATCAAAGCGACCAAGGTACCATTATGAATTATGATGTTGTAAATTTTAAGCTCAAGCTAGTGTTATGCATGATTATTATGAGAATTATGCTATTTGTAGAACGTTTTTCTACAACATTGTTGACAATGATGGTTGTGGCAAAAAAGTATCGGTTGAAATGATGACTTATTTTAAAAAAATTGTCCAATGATGTCAAAATCATTGTACACCAAGCATTGTTCTTATTATAATGTTGCTTAATTTATTTTGATGATATCAAACTCTAGTTGGACTTCTTGGTTAACAGTACCTACTTGTTTTTCTGTATATTGTGAGAAGAAGACCTCTGTTGGTGAGATTGACCATCTGATCCCACTCCAACGGTCAAGTTAGAATGGCATAGAAACATAGTTAAAATACAAAATGTTCGTTTAGTTACTTGTGACTTACTTGGAGTGAGACCGAGAGTGGGGCTGTAATGTCTTATACCGGGAAAGTTCGGTAATCCATGCCATAGTAGGTAGGACCACATTGAACCTGTCAGATGAATGAGAGGGTTTGGTTTATATAACCAAAGCCGAGGAGACTTTTGGTGGACACCATGA